TTTGTTTACTGAAGTGTAAGTTTTGTTTCATGTCACAGTACCTGCAGCACGATGTGCACAGCATCACAACTACTTGGCAGTGTGACAACTAGATTGCCGAATCTTATAGTTGTCTCTGCATATTAAGCTTAGATAGGAGAAAGTGTTTTAACATCAAAGAAATCACACAAGCTGCGCTCCTTTAGTGCTTATAAGGGTGTGTGGTGAGTAAACGAAGAAAGACAGCGGGTGTTGTATACAATATATAAAATAAGTATCAAAGTGTCTGACTCTTCTCTGTGTTAGAGCAGTTTAGTTTAAGATGAGGGAATTGCTCCGTCAAGAGTGCCACAGTCTGTGAACTATGGACCCCAGGGCCCAGTGGGTTTCTCATTAGTAAAATTAAGTTTGAATAATAATACAAACATTCTTGCTGAGCTGGATTATACACGCCATCCCTGTGGGCAAGTAACCTTTTTATTGATTGGTGGTTCTTTTCAATTTTTGCTTGATACTTTAAAAACAGGGCTCTCAAACTGTAATCAACCAATTTACCGCTTGAAAGCATCTTGAAAATGAATTACATTCCTTTTTTCAATTTCCTTCGCCAGACATGAGTGGTTTTACAACAAAAAAAGTAGAGAATCAGTGTACTATTTTTGGCCTTGAGGTTGTTGGTTTCTCTAATCTTTTTGTCTCATATTGGAACAGTATGATTAGGGTCTTCTTAGTGTCTGCATCTCTTTTTTCATTCATAAAGATCAGGGTTTGTGGGATAGAAGGTTTGTTTGTAAGAGGTCAGAGAGAGTTCTGTATTTTTAAAGGGGTCATATGATGCTATTTTAAAGATCATTATTTTGTGTATTTGGCATAACAGAATATGTTGACATGCTTTAATGATTAAAAAACACATTCTTTTTCAAATACTGTACATTATTGTAGGTTCTCTATGCCCCGCCGATTGACAGGCAATTTGACCAAACATAACTACAAATCCGCCATTTGTCCGACAGACAAATCAGACAAGAGAGTAGAGTAATGTGGGTGGACTTAGGTCCTGTTTACACTAGTGCGTTTTCATTTTTAAAACGATGTTTTAAAAGGAAAACGATCCATGTCTACACTGCGTTTCAGAAACGATCTCTGTCCACACTACACAACCGAAAACCATGACCATTCATGCAGGTACAACCATAGATATGTATAGGTAGGTGCCCTATTATTTAGATGGAGGACGCATCTACGTGCTTGGAGCGGTCGAATGGGGAATCTACCTATACATATCTATGGGAACAACAATGAGCATGGTGTTATTGTTTACACGGTCATCAAGGATATGCAGAGTGAATGTGGGCAGCCACGCCATCATATTCAAAAGTCTCTGTTTTAGTCCGTTTACATTGAGACACAACCCCAGAGTTTTCAAAATAAACGGGGTCTGCAGTGTTTTCAAAAGTCACCTAGAAAACGCCGGAGTAGTGTAAACGACAGGCATAACCATAGCAAAAGTTAGTAGTGTAAACGACAGGCATAACCATAGCAAAAGTTACGCTGTGGATCGCCGGATCGGCTAGACAAGAGAGTAGAGTAATGTGGGTGGACTTAGGTCCTGTTTACACTAGTGCGTTTTCATTTTTAAAACGATGTTTTAAAAGGAAAACGATCCATGTCTACACTGCGTTTCAGAAACGATCTCTGTCCACACTACACAACCGAAAACCATGACCATTCATGCAGGTACAACCATAGATATGTATAGGTAGGTGCCCTATTATTTAGATGGAGGACGCATCTACGTGCTTGGAGCGGTCGAATGGGGAATCTACCTATACATATCTATGGGAACAACAATGAGCATGGTGTTATTGTTTACACGGTCATCAAGGATATGCAGAGTGAATGTGGGCAGCCACGCCATCATATTCAAAAGTCTCTGTTTTAGTCCGTTTACATTGAGACACAACCCCGGAGTTTTCAAAATAAACGGGGTCTGCAGTGTTTTCAAAAGTCACCTAGAAAATGCCGGAATGGAAGACTGTTTCCTGAACCTGCAGAGTAGCATACAATGGGTCTGTGCTCAAAGGCTTTTCTATAAAGTGGGGCAGTTCCAACTTTGCAAGGACAGTCTGGAACTTCTGACTCACAGATTGTAAGTACATTTTTTATTGTTAAAGAATTTGCTACTGATGATTCAAATGCGAGTAGCGCTTGTTGTTTGTCGTTTCTCCGATCACAAATGCAGACATGGTTTTATGTTTACGCAGCGTGATACGCAACGCAACTCGTAAAAACACAGCATAAGTCATTATAATCAGTAATTATGTCCCCACTGGATGCAACACGTTTGTAATGGGTTTTATTGGTTTTGTCTCGCTGTGCCGGGAGACGGCATCACAGTATGGTAAGGGGCGTAACATTTCCGTCAGGCGCTTGAGGTATTCAGCCAATCACAATGCACTGGATAGCTGGACATTCAGCGTACACCTCGCTTTTCAGAACGATGAGCTTTGTAAAAATCTACGTGTTTCAGAAAGGCAGGGCATTGAGGAGCAACAATAATGTACATTATGTGGAAAATAATGTGTTTTTTTAACCTTAAACCGCATAAACACATTTCATTACACCAAATACACAACATAATGTCCTTTTTAGCAACGTCATATGACCCCTTTAAAACAAAAATGCACTAGTGTAAACGTAGACTTAAAACTTGAAAAATGGTGTGGGGTCCTATTATGCTTTTTCACTTTTTCAACTTTAGTTAGTCTGTAATGTTGCTGTTTGAGCATAAAAAAGACCTGCAAAGTTACAAAGTTCAAAGTCCAGTTCAAAAGCAGATATTTTATTTAACAGAAATCACTTTTCAAAAACTACAACGAACGACTCGTTTGGACTACAACGCATATTTTCCGGGATTTGTGATATCACAAATATCGACGAATGGGACGAGACCTGGTTGAGCTGCACTAGAGAAGGCAACGAGTGTTATCACTATGTCGGAGACACGCTAGCTTTCCCAAGACAGACAAACTTAGAATGGTTACAATCATCCGGGTTTAAATCGTGCTCAAATTTATTTGACTTTGAAACAATATTTACACTGAAGCTCGCGGCCGGCTATGGTAAGGGGCATGACATTTCCTGACCAGGCGCCGAGTGCTGCCAATCACAACACACTCTGGCCCAGCTAACCAATCACAGCACACACTGGCCCAGCTAACCCAGCAATCACAGCACATTTCGTATTTCAGAAGGCGGGCCTTCATTTGATACAGGAACTATTCTAGCCGTTCATGCCAGACTGGTGAGAGAGGTGTTGTAATAATGTAAAATATGTGAAAAATAATGTGTTTTTCGAACAACCTAGTATGAGAGCCTGTTCTAGTACACCCCCAAAACAAAATCAAGACTTTGAAAAAGAGCATAATAGGACCCCTTTAACATCTTTCTGCGATTAAAATAAAATACCTTCTGATGTTCATTCATGTTTATTTTGTGCTTTAACTAGTAAATATGAAAGGACGATTGGTTCACTTGTTGCTTGAGTAGAGGTGCCACAGCGATCTTTTAAAGAGCCACAAAATGGTATTTATTGTTTGAATGACAAATGAAAACATTTTAAAGCTGAGGTTTTGTTTCATACCAAAAGTAACCGCCTCTGTCTTGTCTGTCGGCTTGTTTTCAGTTTCCTCTTTGCTCCACAATTTTTCACTGTGTGAGAACATGATGTGTAGCGTGAGAGCAGCATGGCTTGTTGGACGCAGCAACAATAACTAAGGGGGCGGGTCTTTACAAAGGGTCAATTAAAATAATTGAAAATCAAATAAATTAATTTATTTGAACTAAAAGCAATGTTTGCAAAGAGAAACTTGGCTTATATTAGCCTACACATAACCCTGGTTTGAAAGCTGTTTGAAAGCCATGAAGATTTTTTTTCAACTTCACACAAAACCATAAATTGCAAAGAGATACCAGAGATACCACGCTCAGGGATACCACAATAAAGTCTTAAATGATTTTTGTTTGAGTGCTTTTCTGCCAACTATTGATTATAGTTTGTGATTAATCAACATATTATTGAATTTTATTTTGAGAAATAGAAAATTAGATGATTATAGTAACTAAAAATGTGCAAATCACTCTACCAGGAGATCCAGTGCTGGGTTTTTCCTCATTATAGAATGTAATCCTAAAACGCTGGGCTAAACTTCCATTTGATCGTTTTCTAGAATGGAGAGAGAATTAGATTGTATCTTATCTCCATCCCTGCGGACACCTTTAACGCCGCAGCATTAAGGGTAAATACCAGCCAAACAAACAATCTCAGCCAATCCCAGCTCGGTAATTAGCCTAATTAAACTGAGGTTGTACGCGGCGTGATTATACATCATTAATTTCATATTGTTTATATATTTCACAACAGTAAACCTTTTTTTCCATGTAAATACTTTGAAACTTTTCATTTTTGTCTATTTTTAAATAATCATAAACATTATTATTAAAACATATTTGTTTGTATTAAATATTTTAATATTTATAAATATATTTTATAATAATATAATTTCATTTTATATGTGTATGTGTACTGTATATATGTATGTATGATATATAACATTTTATCAGACTTCATTGATGCAAAGAAAACCTGAGATTTTTCTCACTGAGATTCATGCAGTGTGTTACAGTTTATCAATGATTGTATTTGCATATCACATGTTGACATCAGGAGCATTGAACTTGTAATGAGGTTCACCTGGAGACATCACAACTCACAACATGAACCGTACATTATTTATTTATAGAGATGGATTTCACAACGCAGATGTGGATTACCAGCTGTGCTAATGTCATAGAATTTTTAATGATAAGTTTAAATCACAAAGGCTTGACCAGACGATGCCAGTACACAAATGTGCAGTGTGTAATTTCTGCAATGCTGGCAGCACCAAACAGTTGTGGTCATGTTTCACGATGCCACTCTGAACACCGTGGTTGATTGTGTGTGTGTTTGTGTGTTGCAGGTTGGAGATGTCGTGGTGTGAAGGTTCTGGAGGCAAGATGACTGTAGTCAAGTTGCTCCTCTCCTTATTGCTGCTACACAAACTTTCTGAAGGTAATGACCACACACACACATACACATACTGGTTTCCTTTTTTTGTGGGGATGTTCCATAGACTAGATGTTCCATGGTTTTTATACTGTACAAACTGTAAACCGAGCTTGTAAACCAAGCAACACCTAAACTTATCCCTCAAAGAAAACGTTCTGCTATTTTAGATTTTCAAAACACTTCATTCTATATGATTTATAAGCTTGTTTCCTCATGGGCTCCAAAAATGTCCCTACAAGGTCAACATTTACTGGTATTACTATACTTGTGGTGTCATTTGGTCCTCATACCCACACACACACACACACACACACAGTTTCTCACTTTGTTTCTCCATGTGGTGCTAAATTTCCATGTTCTCATACCAAAGCAAACTATACATTTGAGGATGAGTATTCTAGCATGTGTATGAATCAGTTTATCTAATAAACTGTCAAGCTGATTTGACAATCAAATTGACAAGCTTGTGAAGTGACAGAACCTATTGATTTATGTGTAGAAACGGCTAATCAATGCTTTATTCGAAATTTTAATACTAAGATTTTATAAAAATAAAAATATTTTTTTGCTGTTAATTGGTTGGCATTTAAGTTCTGACATGAAATTATGAGATCTACTATATACTCAGTCTCCAAAATTAATTATTTTCAATGAATTTTCACACAATATTTATAATATATAAAACATATTCAAATAGTTTTGTAATTGCAATAACATTTCGCAGTATTTTTCAATATTAAATGACAAAAAGTGGCTTTAGATGAGTGGCGTGACATGTGGCCAAGTATGGTTACCCATACTAGGAATTAGTGCTCTGCGTTTAACCCATCCTAAGTGCACACACACAGCAGCGAACACACACAGCGTGAACACACACCCGGAGCAGTGGGCAGCCATTTATGCTGCAGCTCCCGGGGAGCAGTTGGGGGTTCGGTGCCTTGCTCAAGGGCACCTCAGTCGTGGTATTGAAGGTGGAAGAGAGTGCTGTACATTCACTCCCCCCACCTACAATTCCTGCCGGACTTGAGACTCGAACTCGCAACCTTTGGGTTGAGTCCGACTCTCTAACCATTAGGGCACGGCTTCCCCCTAGATGGCATGTATCATTTTATAATTTTAACGCATTAATAACTATACAAAATTAATGTGTTAAATAGACCCTTATTAAAAGTGAGTGTTGAATGATATTGTTTTTCGATGTCAAATCCGTGTGAGACATCTAGAAGACCAGGACATGTTTTATATGAACCTGAGGTAACGGCTTGCCTCGTGAATATTGATGATCTAACAACAGCTGCATGAACTAATTAATATTCATGAGCCAAGTGACCTCACACCCCACCCACCTTTGGCCCCCCCACTAACTGTGTGTCTCAATGTGTCTCTCAGACTTTGAGATTAAAACTCTGATTGTGCTGACAGTGGTCTCTCTTCTGTGTCACTCTCATCTGTTTCTCTCATTTTTCAGCGTGCTCTCATTACCTTCCTGTTGTCCTTCTATCAGTCTTTTCTCAGACATCTCACTCCATCACTGCTCTCCCGCGCCTGTCTATCATTCCTCACTGTTTGCTTGTGTGTGTCGGACACCTGCGATCTGTGGCGGCACGTTTAACAACACAGTGTCTCTGCCACTTAACATCAGCCCACAGGAGTTTATAATTCGCTGCCCTCTCCTTCCTCTTCCTGTCTGTGTCCTTTTCTTTCGCCGAACCTCTCTCAATCATTTACACACTCCATCTTTCTTCATGAATCTGCCTCGCTCGCCCTGTCTCTCATAGGTCCTGTGGGAGCTGTTCTCTCATGGTTATTAGCTCTCTGTGATTGGTTCAGGGTTTTGAGGGTTAAATGAAATGGAGGTAAATTAGGGAGGGAGTTTGAGCCCTGAACCCCAGAACAACTCGAGACTGAATGTTAAACACTTCTCGCCCAAAAGAGAGAGAGAGTTTAAAGGAATAGTTCACAAAAAAGAAAAAAACTGTCATTATCCAAACTTTTTCTTAGTGACCATGACTTCCATGATTTTCAGTGAATAACAACCTATATTTCAGCTGTTGTATGGCTTCAGAAGACTTTCAATGTAGTGCACAAGTATTGATTGCTGTATGGATTCTTTTGTGGTCTTTTTTAATTTTAGTCATGACCAATCAAGTGCCAAAAAGGACCACAAAAATACCATAAAAGTAGTCCATAGAACTTGTATGCCATATTTCAAGTCTTTTGAAGTCATTTGATTGATTTGAAGCTTTGTGTTAGAAACAGACCAACAGAAATCCAAGTGGTTATTCACTGAAAATCTTTATTTTTGCCCTAAAACAATACAAGAGTTGTATTTTGTGCTATTGGTGCTTTTTAGACTGTGAACAGACCGTATGTTCTGCTAAATAATTCCTTTTGTGTTCCTCAAAAAAAATATATGTAAATAATATATAAATACACAAACAAACAAACAAACTGGAAGAATAAGGTGACTAAGAGATTTTAATTTTTTTAGATTTTTATTTTTATTTTGGTGAACTCTCGTTTTTAAGGTAAATAGTGGAAGAGGTGGAAGAGAGGTGAGCTGTCTTCATAAAAAACGATGGTGTCTGTGAAGAGATCTGATATGATGTGAGGTCCTGTCTGACCTGTTCACTTAAAAGACTCTCAGTCAATGTCACAATGGGAAAACATCAGCTATCAAGTCTGTTTCACACATCCTGGGTCTGCAGGAGTGTAAGCAGCGTAACTGCAGCCGCAAGCATTTGTAGAGCTTTCATTATGACACACAGTTTTTCTTTGATAATGGCTATAAATTATAAAGTTGTCAAGAGCAGGCCATGGAGAACTATTACAAACCCCAAAGTGTAAGCTTAACTGTATTGTAACGAATGTGTTGATAAATTGTTCAAAAGTGCATTTTGACCATATGTTTTTATCATTATGTGAAGTAGGGTTGGGCGATGTCGACCAAATTGGCATCGGAAGATGTCTGCAGTGAAACATCGTGATGGACAATGACATCGGTGGGCAGGGTGGGGTTAGGGGTGTGCCCGAAGCATGAAACAAATAATGCGTTCTACGGAGCCACTAAAACGTTAGCCGCTTGCTAGCGGTAGCCTGTTCTGTTGCATTACAGTACATGAAAGTTCACTTACCACATACACAGAGTAAGGAGAAATGTCTGATAGGACAATTGCGACTGATTTGCAGATCCTGAGCACCAATGACAAACATCTAATCTTGTCAAATGTGTGGTAAGTACTGCCGCTCCATAGTATAGAGTCCTTGTGATCACGAATCTCAAAAGTGAAAGTGAAAGTAAAATGAGAGCGCGCAATCGAAAGCGGTTTCAATAGCGGCTCCCTGACGCCCGCAATTTATATACAGTCGCCTAGACTTACCCAACGATATAATTGACAATTGCGACTGATTTGCAGATCCTGAGCACCAATGACAAACATCTAATCTTGTCAAATGTGTGGTAAGTACTGCCGCTCCATAGTATAGAGTCCTTGTGATCACGAATCTCAAAAGTGAAAGTGAAAGTAAAATGAGAGCGCGCAATCGAAAGCGGTTTCAATAGCGGCTCCCTGACGCCCGCAATTTATATACAGTCGCCTAGACTTACCCAACGATATAAATCACCTTAGATAAACGGCAAAAGTCAACAGGCTTTTCAAAATCCAAAATATTGCCAAACAGGCGCTTTTGCATTTCGTTTAGAAACTAAATCATCCATGATCGTCTTGTCTGTCTCACCTCACCTCACTCTTCTTGTCAGACAGCTCGACTCACTCTACTCACTGGAGAAATGAAATCTGATCTGTGATGCGACTGTCGTTCGGCACGCTGCATTGAGCAGCCGCGTTCAGTTTTTAATTGTAGTGTCTGTTCTTTTACTGAACTAAATGATTTTTATTACTATAAAAAATCAAAACGACGGTGGGGGTCGCTGCCGCGGTGGGCAAGTGACGTAACCGGTGTTGCGGCTTAACACCGGTATCACCGTCAGCACCGTCTATCGCGGCAAGCTGTCTTTGAATGCGGGAACACATCCATGTCTGAGCTAAATTGCTAGTTAAGCATTAATGTGTTAATTTTAATAAATCTTTCATAAGTAATGATACAAAATTAATGTGTTAAATTGACCCTTATTAAAAGTGAATGTAAAAATATTTGAAGAAGCTGGTTTAATATTATTTTTCGATGTCAAATCAGTGCGAGACATCTACTAGAAGAACAGGACATGTTTTATATGAGCCTGAGGTGACGGCTTGCATCATGAATATTGATGATCTAACAGCAACTGCACAAGCTAATTAATATTCATGAGCCCTGTGACATCACACCCCACCCACTCACGGGTCAAATGTGTCTCTCAGACTTTGAGATTAAAACTCTGATTGTGCTGACAGTGGTCTCTCTTCTGTGTCACTCTCATCTGTTTCTCTCATTTTTCAGCGTGCTCTCATTACCTTCCTGTTGTCCTTCTATCAGTCTTTTCTCAGACATCTCACTCCATCACTGCTCTCCCGCGCCTGTCTATCATTCCTCACTGTTTGCTTGTGTGTGTCGGACACCTGCGATCTGTGGCGGCACGTTTAACAACACAGTGTCTCTGCCACTTAACATCAGCCCACAGGAGTTTATAATTCGCTGCCCTCTCCTTCCTCTTCCTGTCTGTGTCCTTTTCTTTCGCCGAACCTCTCTCAATCATTTACACACTCCATCTTTCTTCATGAATCTGCCTCGCTCGCCCTGTCTCTCATAGGTCCTGTGGGAGCTGTTCTCTCATGGTTATTAGCTCTCTGTGATTGGTTCAGGGTTTTGAGGGTTAAATGAAATGGAGGTAAATTAGGGAGGGAGTTTGAGCCCTGAACCCCAGAACAACTCGAGACTGAATGTTAAACACTTCTCGCCCAAAAGAGAGAGAGAGTTTAAAGGAATAGTTCACAAAAAAGAAAAAAACTGTCATTATCCAAACTTTTTCTTAGTGACCATGACTTCCATGATTTTCAGTGAATAACAACCTATATTTCAGCTGTTGTATGGCTTCAGAAGACTTTCAATGTAGTGCACAAGTATTGATTGCTGTATGGATTCTTTTGTGGTCTTTTTTAATTTTAGTCATGACCAATCAAGTGCCAAAAAGGACCACAAAAATACCATAAAAGTAGTCCATAGAACTTGTATGCCATATTTCAAGTCTTTTGAAGTCATTTGATTGATTTGAAGCTTTGTGTTAGAAACAGACCAACAGAAATCCAAGTGGTTATTCACTGAAAATCTTTATTTTTGCCCTAAAACAATACAAGAGTTGTATTTTGTGCTATTGGTGCTTTTTAGACTGTGAACAGACCGTATGTTCTGCTAAATAATTCCTTTTGTGTTCCTCAAAAAAAATATATGTAAATAATATATAAATACACAAACAAACAAACAAACTGGAAGAATAAGGTGACTAAGAGATTTTAATTTTTTTAGATTTTTATTTTTATTTTGGTGAACTCTCGTTTTTAAGGTAAATAGTGGAAGAGGTGGAAGAGAGGTGAGCTGTCTTCATAAAAAACGATGGTGTCTGTGAAGAGATCTGATATGATGTGAGGTCCTGTCTGACCTGTTCACTTAAAAGACTCTCAGTCAATGTCACAATGGGAAAACATCAGCTATCAAGTCTGTTTCACACATCCTGGGTCTGCAGGAGTGTAAGGAGCGTAACTGCAGCCGCAAGCATTTGTAGAGCTTTCATTATGACACACAGTTTTTCTTTGATAATGGCTATAAATTATAAAGTTGTCAAGAGCAGGCCATGGAGAACTATTACAAACCCCAAAGTGTAAGCTTAACTGTATTGTAACGAATGTGTTGATAAATTGTTCAAAAGTGCATTTTGACCATATGTTTTTATCATTATGTGAAGTAGGGTTGGGCGATGTCGACCAAATTGGCATCGGAAGATGTCTGCAGTGAAACATCGTGATGGACAATGACATCGGTGGGCAGGGTGGGGTTAGGGGTGTGCCCGAAGCATGAAACAAATAATGCGTTCTACGGAGCCACTAAAACGTTAGCCGCTTGCTAGCGGTAGCCTGTTCTGTTGCATTACAGTACATGAAAGTTCACTTACCACATACACAGAGTAAGGAGAAATGTCTGATAGGACAATTGCGACTGATTTGCAGATCCTGAGCACCAATGACAAACATCTAATCTTGTCAAATGTGTGGTAAGTACTGCCGCTCCATAGTATAGAGTCCTTGTGATCACGAATCTCAAAAGTGAAAGTGAAAGTAAAATGAGAGCGCGCAATCGAAAGCGGTTTCAATAGCGGCTCCCTGACGCCCGCAATTTATATACAGTCGCCTAGACTTACCCAACGATATAATTGCGAGAAAAAGTATTGAAATATTTGAAGAGTTTGGTTCCAAAACACTTTAAATCCATTTTGATTAATTTGAGTTAAATGTGTTTTCTTTACCAAGAAAGTGACCAAGATGAAAACCACTATTTTCTGTTTCAAACTTTCACATAGCATCTTTAGGTTATAATAACATAAAAAAATTCAAATCCAGATTTTGATTTTCAAAGATTTATTATAAAATTGTATTATTTTTTCCCCCAAAATGCAATAAATCCATTACATCAATATAAAAGTTATTTTTCATATTTTTTTTTTTTTTTTTTTTTCAAATTGCAATAAATCCATTGAATCAATATAAAAGTTATTATTCATATTGAAAATACACAACATAGTAAGTCAATTCACATATGACAGCCTCTGAACTTGGTCAATACTAATCTTATATACAGGCGCTGAACTAAAACTACATTCAATCAGTCATCGCTCCCAAAAATAATTCAACGGGTCATCTTGTTAATGCTATAAATTAAATTACAACAATAAAAGAAATTTCATCATGAACGTACATGAACAACAATATCACATTAAACCACAGACATTCCAAAATGACATTTCCCTGACATTCAACTTCCAAAAGTGCATTCATCTTTGCCATGCTACATTCATTTATTTGACTAGTGCTATACGCTGTATAAACAAAAACATAAATGGCATAAATAAAAACACTTACACTGACAAGCTACTCAATATCGCATTCATAATCACATGCGACTCATCTGCGATTATGAACGCGATATAGCAGTGATCTATGGCTCTGTGTATTAAATGCCACTCCATCTGAAAGCACGTGATGGAGATTTACTATTAATCACAGAACTGGCTTTACTGACGAGATGCGCATGACAATCACATGCGATTTATCCTGCAGCCCTAAATTTTTTTGTTTGTTTGTTGATCACAAAGTACAAAATAGATGAGGAAAACTAGGATGCCGGGTGTATTCAAAGCGCCGCCATTACTGTCTAGAGTGCGTGGAATGGTGCGCTGTGATTGGTTGAGCGGATATATCGCATTCTGCAGAAAAAGGAGACTGATGTTTGTCACGGTTTGGAAAAAAAGGGAGAAAACATGACAGAAGAACTCGGCTGATATCGCATTTTGCGTAAAATCAAAAATGTACTTTTCAATACCAACCAGATACAATACAGATTTTGGCGGAAACTCAAATAAAAAAAACATTTATCGCGTTTTGGAAGCAAACTTAATTTTTTTTATCCTCCCATCTCGTAGGCTATTTATTCCCTTTAGGGTTTCCGTAGTACACTCCATTTCCTTTCCGAACATGGAACTGGGATGCGGCGGAATGCGGGAGAGGGGGTGGGGGGAGGAATCACAATGTCATCTTAACATCGTGATGTCTGTCAGCCATCGGCGATGGACGATGGCATCGTCTATCAGCCCAACCCTAATGTGAAGTACAACAAAACTTGGCTCAGCGGTGAAAGCATTATTGATTCACATGTGCTTTTATGCGTTTTTACCTCCTTATACTGCCTGCAAAAACAGCATCTTTTATGTTTTGCACACAGCTATATGCGCTGAAATAAATACACGTCAGTTATAGGTTGGTCTTAGTCTTAAGTGTGAAAATTCAGTTAAATCATATTAATTTCAGTATTCATTACAATTTAATTTCAATGCATGGGGCTCAAAGAAAATTTCATTAAGCAACAATAATGATATGATTATTAATTTTATCATGACAGTGTAAAGATCTGGAGCTGAAGCCAGGACAGATGCGGCAGGCTCCGCTTTTGGCAGGAACTCTCATTAAATCTGTGATCCAGTTTGTCACACACCTAAAACTCGTTTTAATCTCTGCTGCCATTCTGTAATGGCTCAGTAATTAACACGGGCTGACGTGTTACTCTAGATTGATTCTAGTTAGTGCATATTGGCGGATGCACAGTTGATGGCTTTCGTTTCTTGCTCTGCATCTCCCTCTCTCTCTCTCTCTCTCTCTCTCTCTATCTGGTTTGTTCTTGCCGCGTTCAAAGCGGAGTCAAAAAGTGATTCACTCTATCAGACACCAGCACTTCAAACACACACACGCACAAACCCTTTTCTGGAGTGTGTGTTGTCTCTGTGGCCCACTACCCATGCACACGATCAAAGTTCTCCTGATCTTCCTGACAAATCTGCTTGTCTCCTGCTACCCCTGGAAAGAGAACACACACGCGTATACACACTGGGGAAACATGTCTCGCACACAACAAGCGCAGATGGGGAAGTTAACACATGTCAGAGCAAAGTGTGTAGTAGTGAAATATTGAGTGCTAGTGTAGGGGAATTCAAGTAAGAAATGTTATGCTGTATAAACTGTTGTATATTGTATATTTAAAAGTATGGGAAATATTTACCTTTTTATATTTAAAATATGCTTACATATATTCACACACACACACACACACACACACACACACACACACACACACACACACCCACACACGCACACACACACACACACACACACACACTAATTAGGATAAGGATGTGTCTTATGCTCACCAAGGCTGTATTTATTTGATCAAAAATAATAATAATATATTTTAAATAATTATTATAAACATAATAATATAATATAAATTAATTAATATATTTTAAATAATAATATATTTTAAAATGTAATTTATTCCTGTGATCAAAGCTGAATTTTCAGCATCATTCCTCCTGTCTTCGGTGTCACATGATCCTTCAAAAATCATTCTAATATGCTGATTTCCTCCTCAAGAAACATTTATTAATTTATTAATGCTGAATACAGTTGTGTACTGCTTAATTTTGTGAAAACTGATTCTTTGTTGAATAGAAAGTTCAAAAGAACAGCATTTAATTATTAGAAAAAATAAGCCTTTTGTAAGTATAAATATCCTTACTATCACTTTTGATCAAGTTAATTCATTGTTTCTGAATAAAGCAATGTATTAACTTGATCAAAAGTGACAGTAAGGACATTTATTGCTTAAAAATAGCTTGTTACTGGGAAAAAACTGAGCTATTGCAAAATGTAGTCAAGTTAATAACATTGCGTTTTTTAGTACTGCAAAGAACCAGCCAACTCAAGAAACTCTGTACACAGGTGGATCTTCCACTGAAGAAACAGCAGAACAAGGAACCTTTGCAGAACATTTTATTTGACTGTAGAAGTGGAGGAGTTATTGTCATATCACATATATACCAAGCTCTCACACAACCCTCATACTGACTGGAAACAGCTCCACATTGAGAGTGTTCATTTGATGTGTTCATCAATGTCATTTTCTGTTTGCCGTCTCATGTAACAGCTGTAACTGTGTGTGTTTTCTCTTATTAAGACCCATGTCTCTGTCTCTCTCCCCTCCAGCCTCTAATCAGCCGCCTCGTTTCCAGAATTACTTCTTCCAGTCATACCTGCTCATCTATGAGAACACACCAGTGGGTGAGTGACTCTCACAAACACACATACTGCTCTATCTGTACACACACTGATGGATCTTTCTACACATTCTCACAGATGAACTTATTTTTCAGTTTTCATGATTTTAGTCCATAAATGCTGAATGGACCATGTTTGGCTTGACTTTTAGATTATTCAGTTGCTTTTATGTGTAAACTAAGCAAAATACACATATTAGAAAAATTAGATATGGGCATTATGATTGCAAAGAGTATACATTATGAATAGTTATGTTTGCTACAAGTATCTGCAGAAATGGTTTATACATGAAATCATGTGGTAATGGCTTTTTTAAAGATAATACAGTGAACTGAATATTTGAGAGGTACATCTTTATTTTTTTTGTGGAACGGTTAAGGTTGCATGCTAAAACCCTCATTTAAAATTTTCATCTCCTGTAAAGCACTGGCACTACAGCCATGCACATTTTGACATACATTTTTGGCAAGCATTTTCTTTTCATAAAGGGCGTTAATCCCTCCTTGCTGTCTATACTTCCCATCTCTCCTCTTATAACACCTCTTCATCCCTTATTCATAGTTTTCCTGTCTTTAGGTCAAAGAGCATGCATGTTTATTTAACCTTGTGACCTCTTGTTATCATAAGCTGCTTTTGTGCTCTTATCTGACCCTCAGTCTGCAGTTTGCCTCACTGTTCCTTATTTGCTTCTGTTTTTAACCTCTTGCTTATTGTGGACTGCATGATAAACGCTTATTTAGAATAGAAGTATATTTGGAGTAAAGTACTTACGCTGTGTTTTAGGCCTAAAAAGTGCTTTCTCTTCATAAAAAAACTCACAAGGAGTCACCAAGAGCGAAAACACTTAAATACATTGACTTTATATGTTTTCTCCTGCCGTAAGTTTGAAAAACGTAAACTTTTTTTTTGTGCATTTGGTGCATTATACAGAAATGCAGCATTGGATGTTAGTACTTTTTTGAATACATTGAAGCATTGATTGTAACATTTTATCATTAAAAAATTACATTAAACTACAGATATTTCCCTCAGAGCCTCGGTGTCAGCAAACCAGTCCTCTGTGATATTGCATCATTGACAGAGAAGAGAAGTACATGATTGCAGCAAAATTAGGAATGCACTTTTCTGGTGTGTTATATAGTTGGTTTAGTTTCAACTCTGTGTGTTTGGTCTCAAGCGGTGTTTTACTCTAACAGTCTCTGTCTTTACGTTTCTGTCCTGTATGTATTTCAGCGTTTTTTAGGGACCCTGTTTTCACTGGAGTGTGTGTATATGCATATAATCATGACGAACAGTATCTGTGTTTATACAGGATCAAGTGCTTCATATTGCCTGATGAATTTTTGTCATTGTGTTTGTTCAGTGAGAATATGTTTGAGAATGTGTTTATTTATAAGGGACAATTGTAACATTCTAAATATACACTACCATTCAAAGGTTTGGGTTTGTAAACGTTTTATGCTCACCAAGGCATTTATTTAATCAAAAATACATTACATTTTTACAGAAGTATTGTGTAATGTGATTGCGGTTTAATTTTAATCTATTTTAAAACGTAAATTATTCCTGTGCTGGCAACGCTGAATTTTCAGCATAATTTCAGTCTTCAGTTTCACATGATCCTTCAGAAATCATTCTAATATGCTGCTCAAGATGCATTATTATTAACATATAAACATTTTTTTCCAGAATTTTTTGATACATAAAAAAGTTGATAAATAGAAAGAAGAATAGAATTGATTTGAAATAGAAATATATAGTAACATTATTAATGTCTCTATTATACGTCTTTACAGCCAGCTATAATCAATTTAATGCATCACTGATTAAAAGTGTTAATTTCTTTTAAAGAAAAAAATCTTACTGACCTCAAACATTTGTAGTGTAGCAAAAATTTAAATTCAGTTTATATATATATATATATATATATATATACACTGTGTACACACACGCAAGTATTTTCTATAGTCTCTTCTTGTTTTTATTTGTTTATTTAATGAAATATGTTTAAATACTTGTGTTTTCCATTGATGCAAAGTCATCAAAAAAATGGTAAAGCTATGCTAATTTCTAAATTCCCGCTTTGCCTAGGGCATTTCCAAATGGATTTGCTTTTATTTTATTATTTTATTTTAAAGCATATTATTATTATTATTATTTTAGGTATCATGTTTAATATGACCACTTTTAAGAGATTTGACAGCGCACAAGTGTTTTAGGGAGTTTTAGGCATAAAAAACACTGCTTACCTGTTGTAAATTTCTGGAACACACCTTTTGTGTCTTATTATTATTTTATGACTTTCTGAATGTACATATTGGTACTGTAGCTGTTGGCACATGGTCTGTGGCTTATGAAGTACATTGTAACCGTTACCGTTGCCCTCATTGTCCGTACTGCTTGTATGTGCTTTAAGCCGGTGTCTCACTGCAGTAGTTTATCAGCCAGCCAATTTACGACCCTCTCTTTTTTGCTATCTGGAAAATTCCGCTGAGACGCCTCTGTTTGCTCACTCCCAAATTGGCAAGTGGCTTAATTAGACTAATTAGTCAATTAGCTAACTGTAGCACGTGCATTCATCTGTTTAAATGACAGAATACTTCAGGCCTCTTTGGCTTTGAATAAAGGGCATACTGCAGATAATTATAATGTTAGTTTAACAGCAGTCTGCTGCTATCACTGAGAGGAGTTTGAAGACTTCATTAAGAGCACACAAATGCACCACTTAGGTGAACCAGAGGTTGAAGACATAAACGTGCATTGCATGATCTAGGTTTCAAAACTTGGATACTTTGGGCCCTATTTGAACAATCTAAGCGCATGGTCTGAAGCACATGGCGCAGGTGCCCTTAGGGCATGTCCGAATCTTTTATCGCAATCTAGTTTAACGATGGAAAAATGGTCTGTGCGCCAGGCGCATGGTCCAAAACGGTTGTACCTAGTCTCATAATGAGCTATGGGTGTTTTGGGTGTAACCTGCAATAAACCAGAGTCTCATCTCCCATTCCCTTTACAAGCCAGTTGCGGTCGCGCCATGGCGGATTCGCTATTTACATGGCGGAATTTGCAAGAGCAAAGACTAAACGTGTCTCCAGAGAGGAAACGGATCTGCTCATGCGCAAGGTTAAAGCATACAAAATAATAATCTTTTATTGCATAATACGAATGTGACCCTTAAATAAATAAAATACTGCGCTATTGACTTTAGACCAGGTTTTAGTTGGTCAATGGCGCAATCGTTTTCAGTTGCCTCAAAATAGCAACGCTCCTACAATAAGCCTGAACACACCTCGTTTTCAGACCGCACACCCATGGGCGAACAGATGTGCGCAAGTGCATTTGCTATTTAAACAACGTGGCGCTGGACGTGATAACTGCGTTGGGCTGAAACTAGCAAAAAACACTTGTGTCGCGCCTGGCGTCGCATCGCGCTGGGTGTATGATAGGGCCCTAAGACTCGATATGTGTCTTGGTGTTTGCTTTCAGACAATCTGATTCAGAATTATTACGAACTCCTATTCGATTGCGCTCTGTCTGTTTTAGTGTGCATGCACGCATCAGCGCTCGTTGCTCTCGCGTGCCTCGCCCACTCCTGACAGCAAAATGGACATGTTTGCATGACTTTATAACATTTACAGATGAAAAATATACCTGTGACATGGCAGTTATGCAATGAGGAAAACACAATGTCTCAAATGCATTAAACAGCACAGATATATTTGCTGTTTGTCATGGTGGATCGATTTGATCCATGATCGACATTAAGGTCTGCTTAAGAATGAGCGTGCACAAATTAGTGAGATTGTGTGAATTTAATTTGTCGTTAATGGAAGCGCTTTAGCCTTGGTTGATTTGTTAGGTTATTTCAAGTCAGGTTTTGGACTTTAATCCCAGTTTTTCCTCGGGTCTCCGTGGTGTTGTGATGCGTCATATTCACGCAGCAGTGGTGATGAGAGAACATGCTTGAGAAAGTTTAGAGAGGAGATATCAATCTACATATAAAATATTGGTCAGAGATTATTGGTCACTTTCTAAATAATAAAAGTATAGCGCATCCACTAATAATGATACACTGAACAAAATTATAAACGCAACACTTTTTTTTTGCCCCCATTTTTCATGAGCTGAACTCAAAGATCTAAAACTTTTTCTATGCACACAAAAGGCCTATTTTGGCCTATTTCGACATCTGTGGCATTGTGCTGTGTGATAAAACTGCACATTTTATTGTGGCCAGTCTAAGGCACACCTGTGCAATAATCATGCTGTCTAATCAGCATCTTGATATGCCACACCTGTGAGGTGGATGGATTATCTCGGCAAAGGAGAAGTGCTCACTAACACAGATTTAGACAGATTTGTGAACAATATTTGAGAGAAATTGGCCTTTTGAGTACATAGAAAAAGTCTTAGATCTTTGAGTCCAGCTCATGATGGGGGCAAAAACAAAAGTGTTAGGTTTATAATTTTGTTCAGTGTATACAAATAAATAGTTTTTTACCGATGCAAATGTGTTAGAAACGATGCATTGCGATATAAATGACAACTTGTATCCGATGCACACTTTTTAAACCGATGCATCGCATCGTTAACTTTTTATGCCGATGCACCGAGCGAATCGGGGAATCTTCCCATCCCTAATGTCCATAGACGTATGCAGGAATGCTGGGTAAAGCTTTGTCATGTTTATTTATTGTGGATGAGTAATGTGGAACTGCATGTAAGTGTATTTTGTGCACACTCCCACATATTTACTAGACTACTACAGTATAACAGCCTTTCAATTATACACGCATTTAAAAATCACACTCAAATATGAAAGAAAACAGATTTGGCTTGTTTTCAAGTCATATGCATAAAACATTCAGATTCAAAAGCAAGAAAACTGATAATGTCTAACAGTTCCCTACCAATGTTTGGATTGACTCAAAGTTATGCTCCAGCCACTCGTCTTGGTTTTAAAAGATTGGGTCAGTTAGATATTTATTTGTATTTATTTTTAA